CAACTCTAAAATGTGAATTATCATTGGAAAAGAAATGAAAAAATACAAAAATATTCATAAGAGCATTACTACATCAGTGGATATAAATGAAGAGATCCTTCAATATCTTCCCATGAAATCACTAGCTAGATTCAAAGTCGTGTCGAAACAATGGAGATCGACGGTAGAATCAACCTATTTTGCCCATAAACGCCTCGTTCGTTTCGGATTACCAACCCCGAACGTAAAACTTCTTATTGTTCATTCAAAATTTAATGAAGATTTAAACTCAACAACTTTGCTTTTGAACACTTTTTCTAGAGATCACAACAACAAGGGAGAAATATGTCTTTCTTCTTCTAGTTCTTACACTTTCCCTGACAATCCAATCGATAAATCTCAAGACAAAACTATTCAAGTCTTGGGGTCTTGCGACGGATTGGTCTTGGTTCGGATCCACAAAGATTTTAGGTACATTCATTTAATAAATCCAACGACTAGAGAGCACCAGACACTTTCTCCTGAACCATCAGAAAGTAAGTCATGTCACTGGATTCAAAACATACTTTAGTAACTAATATATGTGCATGTGATTCTATTTATATTTGTTTATTTGAAGATGAGTTACGATACAAAATGCCTTTTACTGCTGGGTTTGGGAAAGACGTTGTTACAAGATCAAGGTGATTTTGATGTATCCAACAGATTCCTATTTATATCGTTTAAAGATCAAAGTCCTATCCATTGATAATGYCGAGAAAAGAGATGTTGGTTTTTATTGGTTACCTTACGAGTATAAAATTTGTATTGAGCGAACCTCAGTCTACGCAAATGGATCGCTCTTTTGGTTCACATATTCTTGGCAACGCCAAAATCATTTGAAGCTACTAGCTATCGACCTTCACACCGAAAAATTTCGATTAATATCATTACCGGATTGCTACTCCAATTACTCTCCTAGTATGCAATTGTGGAATTCAGATGACCGTTTGTGCCTATCGAATGTGCTACAATGTACAAATTTGGACGTTTGGAGTCTACAACAAGATAAAGATACTAATCAGAAATGGGAGAAAACATATTATTTCAACTTTTGGAATATCTATCGATTAGATGCAAACTACTGGATGCTTGGCCGAGAGGCTGCTTACTCTCGTAGAATTGGAGAAAATCTAGATCAAAATTCGTATGACTACATACTAAAAAACGGTGATTTCGTATTCGCCGACTATGATTTCTCCTCAAAATTAATGCTTTAATTGTTGTTGTTTATACCTTCTCTTTGATTAATTATCAAAGCTTTTAAGTTTTTAATCATAATAATAAACAAGTTCAAAGGAAGTGTTTAATTATTCACCTAAATGCGAAAGCAAGACTTTTTAGAAAAGGTAAATTGACATTGTAACTTCTATTTATTTGGAATTATGTGATATGATTTACAATTCTTCCGTTTTGTACATCTCTTTTCGAAAAGCAATGAAAAAGTTATTGAATTAACTAAACAGCGAATACAAAAGGAATTCAAGTACAAATTGCAGGACGCATCGACCGAAAAAATTTTGCACGTGTTGAATGGATCAGAGAAGGCAGAGTTCCTTTACAAACATTGACGCTAAAATTGATTATTGTTCCTATACAGTTCAAACTACTTTCATCTTGTTTTTTTTTTTCCTTTTTTCTACTAAAGTGGGGTATCTTTTATTTTAAATCTTGTTATCTGATTTGTTTGTCAACTATTTTATTAGTGTCTATTGATTTTTATATTTTAGAAAAATTAATACAACTATTTGATTAATGGTATGAAACGAAAGACATGGAATTTCGATGTTTTTCACATAAATTAAATAAATAGTATCAATGTATCCCACACAATATGCATGTAACCAATTCTTACAAAATCTAACAAAATATGTAAATAAGAATTGCAATATATATATATATATTACAATAACTTAATTAAATCACATTTTAATATTTTTGATGATATATCAAGTAATAAAGTTGACTAGATCTGAAAGAAATAATTATTAGATTTGAATATTATCCATTTTCAGCAAATAATCACTATATACTATATTAGCTGATTCTTATTTAGCTTACAAAAATATTTATCATTGATGATAAGTTGTAAATTATATTAGGAGAAAGAAGTATATGCCAAAAAAAATCTATTTTTCAGAAATTTTTAAAAATTGATGGTAGTATCAGATATATATACAAACATTTATTTATATTTTTCTCTTATTATTTACTATGAACAAATGTCAAATCCTATAAAGTTGAAGAGAAATGATGTATTTTCATTAGTGTATATATTATATTATAGATATACTAAGCAGTGAATTATCATTGGAAAAGAATGGAAGAAAACAAAAATATTCTTCAGAGCATTATCACATCAGAAGATATAATTGAAGAGATCCTTCAACATCTTCCCATGAAAGCACTTGCTAGATTCAAAGCCTTGTCCAAGAAATGGAGATCGACGATCGAATCAACCCATTTTTCCCATAAACGCCTCCTTCGTTCGGGATTACCAACACCGAACATGAAACTTCTTGTTGTTCATCAACCATCATCAAATCCTAATGACGATTCAAACTCAACAACTTTTCTTTTGGACACTTTCTCTGGAGATCACGACAACAACGGAGAAATATCTCTTACTTCTTCTACTTCTTACACTTTACTTGATGATACAATCGACGATCAAGACAAAACTATCCAAGTGTTGGGCTCTTGCGACGGATTGGTCTTAGTTCAGGTCTACAAAGATTTTAGGTACATTTATTTAATCAATCCAACAACTAGAGAGCACCGGACACTTTCTCCTGAACCGTCGCAATGGTCCAACCATGTTAGTTACACTACTACAAAAACCAATCCAGTGACCGGAGAAAACTTTCTCCATCAATCTTGCAATTAAAAGGTACAAT